CAGACTCTGGGGCACTTGGAGAAGGCCGTGGTTCTCGAGCTCACCTTGAAGCACGTGAAAGCGCTAACCAACCTCATCGAGCAGCAGCAGCAGAAAATAATTGCTTTGCAGAATGGTTTACAAGCGGGGGAGTATGCGGGTGAGTATTCAAATGGTGTCCTGCGAGAGCCTGCGTGCGCTCGGTGGACTTTCTCTCGGAGTCTTTGAAATGCAGTTGTGGCACTTCGTTCCTGGGAAGGGAGGAGGCAGGAGTTCTTGCCTTTCATGGCCGGCATTTTCTCTTGCTTTGCTTGTGAGCTTTTGCACAAAAAAAAAAAAAAAAAAAGGCATTTTTCAGTGGGGTCCCAAAGTGCCCTGTGGAGCTGTTTTGAAATTAAAACTGCATTTTAAGTAGTTTTATTTAAAGCCCAGGTTCGCTGTGAGGTTCTCTCTAAAGCCATTTGAGTCTTTCCGCTCGTGTTCGTGAGCTTTGGATCAAACCCAGTTTTGTTTGTTTGTTTGTTTTCCTGAAAACACATGTAAGCCTGCTTTTTGTAGCCCCCCCCTTTCCAGGTCTCTTTGTTAACAAGCTCTCCCGCGTTCTGCAGGCGAGGAGGGGACCCGGTGCATCAGCTTATCGTGCTTTAGATGCACTTCCTCCTTCTGTTTTCACATGTGGCGCTCACGTGAATCTGATAAAGTAAAATTTAGGGTTGGTTTTTTTGGTTTTTTTTTGTGTTTTTTTTGTTTTTTTTTTTTTTTTTCTGACGAGCCTTCCACTGCTCTGACAGCCACAGGGAGTGCAATAGAGCTTTCAGCTGAAGCGCAGTCGCCCGGGGTTGGCGGAGCGGCTGGCGGGCAGCCGTCCTCCAGGAGCTCGCTGCCCGGAGGTGAAGGGCGAGGTGCGCTCTGCCTTTCCCGGGGCGTTTCCCGGAGGAGGCACCCCGCTCGACTCGCTCCCTCGCTCCGTACCTCCAGCACCCGCTGAAGGCGGCACATACAGTAAATTACAGACCTAGAAACTGGGCTTGGGCAAAAGCGGGCAGAGGGATGCTCAAATGAAAACGTACGCGCGCACGGAAGTCGGGGGAAGGCGCGTGAAATTCGGGTTGACCGTCGGGTCCGCCGCTCTAGCTGCGCCGTAACCAAAGTTGAGCATCGCCTCCGGTCCGCCTCGAAGACGGTAATGGAGGAACTATTTAGCACGTTGTTAATTTTTAATTTCTTTCTGTTAATGTTTCCTCAGGTGACCTGTCATCAAGAAACCTTGATTCCAGCCAGGAAATGTTTCGATCCGGTTTCCAGATGTGTGCCAAGGAAATGCTGCAATACCTGGCAAAGCACGAGAACGGCAAGGACCTCAAGTCGTCGCAGCTGGTCAGCCATCTGCACCGAATGGCCTCCGAGGTGCTCCAGGGCGGAGCCGGCCGCAAGCCCGGGGACCTCCCTCCTCAAATGGTGGACTTGAAAGAAAAACCCGTCTCCTTGACCAACGCGGCGGAGGGGCACGGGAAAAACTGCGTGCCTGTGATCCAGAGGACATTCGCTCACTCCAGCGGGGAGCAGAGCGGCAGCGACACGGACACGGACAGCGGGTACGGGGGAGAGCTGGAGAAAAGTGACTCCAAATCCGAACAGCAGTATTTCAAAAAGGATACCGAACTCAAGTACGCTGTCCAGGAGAGAATAAGCTCTATTAAGCAAGAGACTGAGGACCCGCCGGCCAAAAGGAGCAGGCTGGAGTCGCCGGAGGACGAGGGCCCGTTTGGCAGCGACGTGATGGGCTCTTCCAGCGGCTT